GCTTGCAGGCCTCAGTGCACAACACCCCACATTCCACCATAATAACATAAATCGGCACGGTCAACAGCTTCACCAAATATACACCCAAAAAATCTATTCTTTCTTGGCCCTGAATTCCCCACTTTTTTCAGTCACACAGGTTCTGGCAGACCTGATCTCAAATTCACCAACAGACTTGGCAACAACCTACAACACCACATTTCACCAGGACCCATTACGGGCTCTGATCATATTCCCTTAATTCTCACAGTCTCCACAAATCCTATTCTCATCCCCAGCACTCCTCAATTCTCATACCATAGGGCAAATTGGGACATGTTCAAACAACACATTGATGACACTGATCTCGCTTATGAATACAATGACAAACATGATACTGATATCGACACACATGCACGCAACATACAAGACACCATCATTCATGCTGCAAGCATCTCCATTCCTAAAACAACACACAAACCTCATTTCACTTTCACTCCTTCCATTCGCACAAAACGCCTCTTAGCTTGTTATCATACAAGATTCTTACATAACATGCATCGTCATGGACAAGTACTCTGGGACCTTACAACATTTAAAAAAACACATCCTTGATAGCCAAGATGGAGACCACACACAACACTGGAGACACCTCATAGAACAAGCAGAACAACACAGAAAACTGACACCAAGAATTTTGGAGGCAAATCAAACGCTCACAAGGATCAACTCTCACACCGTTTAAATACCTTCTACATAACAAAATCACTGATCCTGATGAAGTACTTAACATTTTTAAACACCACTGGGAACAAATATTATTCACATCCTCCTGAACCAACTGCCCTTCCCAACATTGAAGTAGTTGAAGACTGGATACACCAAAACAGACATGAAACCACACCTCACGACCTCATCCACCTTGACAACCTCAACTCACGCACTGAACTACAGACTCCCCTGACTCCAGTTGATGTCAAGACAGCTCTCATGAGCACTCGTCGCAGAGCCCCTGGTGCATCTGGCATTCGACAAAACCTTCTTAGACAACTCCCTGTTTCTATAACTTATTCACCGCCTTCCTTGCCTCTGGATATTTCCCTCTCACCTTCAAATTTGCCACTGTTCTTATTCCAAAACCTGGGAAACCTCACACTGACCCAAGAACTATAGACCCATCAGCCTTCTACAGACACTTGGCAAAGTCTTTGAAAGGCTGGTCAACATGAGACTTAGAACCCACCTAGAAGACAATTACTTACTAACAAACAGTTTGGATTTCGGCCTCACTGGTCCACACATGACGCCTTAAATATCATGACCAATTACATCAGCATCAATCAGCACCAAAGACTTAAGACTGCACTCATCACTAAGGACGTTGAGAAGGCCTTTGACACTGGCATGACGGCCTCAAATTCAAACTATGCAATAACTTTAATCTTCCACTCATCACCACTAAACTTCTTTCTAACTACTTAGACAATAGGACGATGAGGATTAAGTTCCTCCGACAACACCCTGACTATTTCAGCTTACATGCTGGTGTTCCCCAAGGTTCTGCTCTTGCCCCGACACTCTTCATCCTATAAATCAACGACATTTCCGACCCTGTTCATCACACTTCATTAACCATATGCTACGCTGATGATGTCTCTCACCTTGTCACCAGCAACACCATTGAAACACTATCACGCAGAGCACAAGCAGAACTCGATACTGTCACAGAATGGGAGTATGACTGGCGCATTAAAACCAACTCCAACAAATAAAAAATCACTTACTTTTTCTGTAAAAGAATGATACGACCTATTCCTATTCAACTCTATTCACTCTCTTCTAATCCTACTAATATATCTATCTCCTTCCACCACAGTTCCTGGCCTCACACTTGATCGACAACTACTCTTTCACACATTACACAAACATAGAACAGCTCTCCAAGCCATAAAAAAATTGTACAGATTTAGATTTGCAAAACCTGACAAAAATGCACCTGTATAAAGCCCTTATTAGACCTCTCCTAACATACGCTCCACTAGCTCTTCTTTAACCGCACCTACTAATAAACTAAAGCTTCAGAGAATACAGAACAGAGCACTTAGATGGGTACTCAACACCCGATGGCGAGAATTCAACACCAGTGAAAGTCTTCATGAAAGTACCAACATTCCTGCCCCTCAATGTCTACTGGAAAACTTTATTAGACAAACAACTTGATAGACTACTCACTTATCACGAACAACACATTGACTTTCTTTTACACACTCTTAGACTATCACGAAACACCCACGACCTCTAATCATGATCCTCCTCCTAACTCTGTAATTCGATAAACTATAGCTCTCAACCCCCAGCATCCATAAATATACAGCTCTCAACACTCAGTATAAACCATCCGTAAAAGTCCAGCCCTGACGCTTTTGAGCCAATCACTGCGGTGTTGTGAGTTTGATGACCCTGTTGTTGTTGTCACTGTTGTTGCCACTGAGACACCCGACCGAGTACTTGCCTCGAATGCCGCAACCAAACGACACGCAGCTCAGTTTAGCCCTGGCACTTTTTCCTCTTACAAATCTACGTCCTCTCACCCCCTTTTATCTTCTTCTTGTCCCCACTTCCAAGCTCGCCCTTCGGGGTGTCTCATCCTGTATATATTCAGATTCGGATGCGCAACACTAATCGTTGGGGGGGGGGGGGAGGGGAATTTGCCTACTTTAGATGCCGCCTGCACACGACTGTAAAGCTGCCGCCCAGTTGGGTGGGTGTGGCGCAAGACTAGTAACTACATGTATGATGAGTCACGTAAAGTGCCTTGTATAGTGACTTGTAAGCCTCTTATTCAATCACTTGATATATAAAGATCATGTATATGTATTTATGTAAATATATATATACATGTATATAACTAACAATTGTGTAACTAGTTTCAAAAAAAGTCACTTGCTTAGCTAAACAAACTCTGGGGTTTAGTTCCTGAACCCATTATGTGCCTCTAACCCTTTCCACCACCTCACACGAGATGGGTATGGGGTGCATAATAAAGAAAAATTGAATTAGTTGAGTAGAGTTTTTGTCCTTAAAAGTTTTGTCGAGTGTTTGAATTACATTTTTCAGTTTTTGAGAAAATAAGGATTGTCAAAAATTTTGACCGTAGATTTGTACATTAATGTTGTTCACAGGTTTCTCCTTATACTCGAGTGACTTATAACACCACATTAAGAGGATGTGGCAAAACACTTATGTTTGATAACATGAAAACTTTTGAAATCAAACAAGATTTTTAAAACATACCGACAATAACACTCGAATATTTATCAAACATGAAAATAATGACGGATCTTTAAACAGAAGATAAAACAAACATTCATAGCCTTCAAGTGCAATTTTCGAACATCACTAATTCAACTGCCGACAAATTTTAAGATTTATTAAATTCAGGTAATTTGAATTAACTTTATAATTCATAAAGTGTGCAGACAATGAAACATTAGAGACAGTATAACAATCAATTTGGAAATGTTTTAGTAGATTGATTAGGATAATCTAGAGATGCAATCGATGGTTTTACAAGCAGCTCAATTTGGAAGCAAAAATTTTTAGCCTTTCGAGCTGAACCAGAAAATTATTGAACGAGATCGGTTTGACGATTAACACGGAAAATAAGATTTTGAAACTTTTCTAAATTCCATTCCATTTCCAGTACCTTACATTGACCACGTCAAGTGACCCTCACTCGCCACACCCTTACACCACCGTCTCCATCCTCTCCCCTTACTCCTAGCCTCTACTATACCAAATTCCAATGATGACTTGCATGATCGGTCCTGGTTGCTTATGGAGTATGTGCTCAATGGTCATTGCAACACCAGTGAACTGCTCATCCAATGAGCTCTCCGGAGACACCCCATCGAGGAAGATCCAAGTCCAGAACTAAAGGTCTTATGATCGTACAAGGTTGCAGGTGCACTGAGATGCCACTATGTACTTCACGACGCGCGATCACACTGCACCATGAAGACAAGACTACGTCATTGTTTTCAGCGATTGACTTTTGTCACGTCCAATACAGTTATCTTGCTGATTAAACGGGTGGTGTTGCATAGCTTTCAAACCCAAATATGTCTGGCATCGGCGCGGCTGCAATTTTTTTTCTTTTTATATTTTTTATAAACCAAAGCTTATTTCACTTACCATAGTTACTTACGAAGTAAAATGCTATTTATACATTTTCTTAAATCTTTAGGATGTCCGTTTATAATTTTTTTTTATTACAATCTTATTCTTTTAATACTTGAAACTATAAATACACAAATACACCAGAATTACCCATTATACAAATTCATCGTTATTACCAATTCATCGACTGTACTTCTTGGTCATTACAAGTTATTAATAACTAAAACTGTACCATTCAAAAATATTCAGAAGCGCTGTTGGTTGCGTAAAGCAGACCTAAAGCTCTCAAGCATTGTTCTCTCCATAAAACAATTATAATCTGCAACTCAAAATTCCCATCGACACCCAAGATAATTTTGTAGATTATTGCCAACTTTGGTCCATCCTCCCTGGAGGGTTCCCCATCCCATCCCTTGTCTTGACTCATGACGGGGGTAGAAATAGCCTAAACTACTCTATACCTTTGAGATGTAATTCTTTCTTGTCTCAATAAACATTAACTTGAACGGACTCTGGTCAAGTCAGAGCCCAACACGGGCCTCTTGGAACGGTCAGTACCGATCTTGACCCTCCAGTGCCCGAGTCCCCCATAGTTCAGCTAGGCCCGCTAGCCAGACTGGTCTAGAGATGACAAACCACGTCGATGGCAAAGCCGGACATCTTTTATCTGGCGTCTGGCTCAAGAAACCCACCAGCAAAGTCTACTTGGCTCCAAGTGTCAGGCAGCACCACCGCTGCTGCCATAGAGAAGCCGGAACACAACTACGAATCTAGCATAAACATGACTTTGAAACTCCTCACGCGAGCAGTCTCACAGCTTTCATATAAAAATTAAATTTGACTTTATTCAGGGGCCATTTTTAATGTTACTTTTATTAGAATTAACATTATTGAAGCTTTTGACATTAATATTACATAAAATAATGAACATGCCCAGAAGTTCCAAATTCAAACAATGGAACATGGAATTCTTGAGACACCGTCGGCCACCAGCACGTGGAACATTCCCCTCACCTCCGACCTGCTACACCACCACCATGATCTTGTCTAGGGGCTTCCGGGAGAGGTTGGGGATTGTGGTGTTGGGGGCGGGGTAGCCGAGTGGCATCAACAGCAGCAGCTTCTCGTTGATGGGACGCTTCAGCAGTGTCCTCAGTGACGGCCCGCAGTTGAGGGGCGTCGAGGTGAGAGTCGCCAAGCCTGCACTCTGGGGGAGTGAAGTAATCAAGATATAATACAGGAGAAAACTCCATCAGTCCTATTGCACTCTGGAAGGTGAACAAGGACAATGATCTGGTATAGGACTGAGATAACTACTAAGACCAATTATCAAGTTGGGAAGACTACTTAGCACTGTCCATCACGAGATATTCAAAGGTCCTAAATATCACACTGGATAACAGTACTAAAGCTAAATAAAATATTTTAACAAGCTCTTTGCAAAATACACAAATAATTACGTGGATAGCACTGAGGAGAATACCGCCGGCCAGGGCAGTCGAGATCTCGTGATAGTAATGGGTTCTCTTGCTACCATCTGGCAAGAGACCGTAGGTCTGCTTGAAGACCAGAATGAGCCAAGGAGCCACCGTCAGGTACTCCTTCACCCAGTCTGTCCGCATGGCTCTCAGGTCCATCACCCACTCCGTACCTGCATCATGCACACACCAACACGTTCTTAACAGGTTTTACATTAAGATAAAACCTACTGACAAGCCAAGAAGGGTCAGGGGTCATTGCAGCTATTAACCTCTAGTCTGCACAACTATTTAAAAGCTCTACATACAGGTGCACACTACCAAAAATTTTAATCTTATTAAAAACCAAATCCCGTGACGATTGGAGCAGTGCAAGGGATAACTTCACACATTACCATATGAATATGAAGCTGAATATGCTGGTAATATTTTCACATTTTGGAATGACTATAGAAATGGACAAAACTAACCCATTCTCTTTGTGTAGTTTATCTCTTCTTCAGTTTCCACGATGGTTCTTATCTGCTGCTTCACCTCGGGGTCCGACACCACCACGAACGTCCACGGCTCCGTGTGCGCTCCGGAGGGGGCAGTTCCTGCAGAAGGGCAACATTATCTAATGTAAACCGTTTTGAAAGAATATATCGGAGCGAAATAGTAGGGTGCATCAGTTCTGGGACTGGATTAAAGTACCGGAAACTATAATTGCCCTGGACGCCAAATTATAGTGCCAAAGTTTTATCGTATTTTAAGGATTAGAGAAAAATAAACTAATGAAAGTCAAAGAGCCCAAACGCCCCCCCCCCCACCCCTGCAGTAAATTTCAACACCCAGTGTTGCAGCAAATCTAGCATAAAACTTTTCAAATATGCTATAGGAACTCCAAAGCTTTGCTTGACTGGATCCTGCCAGCCTTTAGGCCAGAGCTATTCCCAACCAACCCAAGGAGATTAGTCGGGCCGACCAATCGCCTCGTGACTGCGACAATTAAGATAAACTTTTGAACGTTACCTGCGGCTTTAATGACGTTGTCGACGACCTCGCGAGGGACGGGGTCAGAGCTGAAGACGCGGATAGTACGACGCTGCTTCATCAGCTCGTAGAACGCTCTCGACTTCTCTATGCTCTCCTCCGGCGTCACCCTGGACCACACGTACGAGAACACAGTCATTACCACACATGACGCAGCAGCCATGATGGTAGGGAAAGAGAACATTCTCAGAGGATTTATGTACATTAATACCCAAAATTATGGGGAACTATCGAAAGGCGCCAAGCCCGGAAATCACCACATAGTACCGTATAAGGAAAACAATTTAAATACATCCTACACGTCATTCAGTAGACCTCTAGCATATGCTCAACCCTAATTATCTTGGCAACAGTAAGCAGTAGCCGGGGCTAGACCACCGAGGTGGCCAACACTAAAGAACTATTACTCACTTTGTGAATTTGTAGTGAACGTGAGTTAGGTCCTCTGGCCACAGTGGTTCACGTGTGTCGGAAGCGACTAGGTCCTTGTCCCTGTCGCCCACGCCGCCAGACACTGTACCAGCAGCAGCAGGAGGAGGGTTAATGGGAACTGAACTCCTCTGGAAACTAACATGTCTACTTCAAACCTTTTCAGTTAACAAATCAGACAACATTCCCAGAGGTGTATGTAATGGAAGCCTCCAACACTAGTGAAATTTTATCTTCTGCAGTACGTGTAACAGACTTTTGTATTGCAATAGTAATACGTTTAATTAAGCGCACTAATATAATAACAAAAGGATAATGGAAACTTCAGAAGCCTACAGGCCCACACCAGCCTGCTATTTATGGCCAAAATTCGTTCATCCGCGTCTCGCCTACGCCTCTACCACCCTGGGGGCCGCTAGTGTTACTGGTGTCTTCAGGTTTACATGGAAACTAAATCGGTACAATTTGGTAGAACTGCCAAGTATAAGCTTTCAAAATTGACACCATCTCATTTTTTACAGTTTGTGGTTCTTTACTCTACTAGAATTTGCTCCTCAAAGCAAATTCTATTAGTTTTTAGGGAAGCAGTATACTGTAATTGGGGCTTCAGGATGAACAAATTTAGACCATAAGTTTTAGACTAGAGGGGTAATTTTTGGCCAGTACATTAACATCAGCCCGCCCTCTCTGGCCAAATGCTCGTTAATCGAACCTGTTATACCCCTTGGCACCTCCGCTGCCTCGCGGCGATACCCACTTTTGGGACGGGCTTCAAGTATCAACCTCGAGGAAGACTAAGGCAGTTCTTTGCCAGTTGGCAAAGGCAGTTCGTTGTTGACTTCAATCCTCGTTCTGGCAACTCTTGCGACGGCGCTGGAAGCGAATTGTCCAATTGAAAGGCAAACGCCAATTTCAACAACGTGGAGAGGGGGGGGGACCCTGCTGCATGGGTAACAACAGCTCCATAACGACCTACTCCAGGCTTTGCGCCCAGGAGAGGACACTCCAGCCTCGGGAACCAGAGTGCAACTCCAAAGTCTCCCAAGACTGCAGGATGCCTACTACACCTCTCGTCAAATAACTTTGAAGCCACTTTAATTTATAAATATAAACGTTCAGTGTTCGAATTTCACTTATGTTTCAGCCACATATTACTAACGAGACCAAACAGAACCTCAATACCCAATTGTGCACCAGATTCTAAGAGAATTTTAATTTCTATACAAGAATACCAATTTTGAAGGCACACTAACACCGATGCTGGAGAGTCTGGGGGTCGTCCGCCGCTGGTCGTCACATATGATAAACACTCAACTCTTAACACTTCTCAGGAGGTGACTATTGCAGTAGACTACTGGCATACTTTTAGGAAGGCGGTTTGTAATTTATGTGGAGATTCAGTCGGCTCCTAACAGTGGTGTTGACTAGTCTCGCCCAAATTATCCTCTAGTTTCAGGTTGCGGAATCCTCCTCTTCCATTATAGATTGAAACAAGAGAGAATGACCAAGTGTTGTCGGGTGGAGTGGTTTCTAATGTGCTGATTGCCCCGACAATTTGTGTCTTCTTGGCTGGAGTAGAGACTGCCACTGGCTGCTGAAATAATTCAGTTTCGTCACCTCCTACTTCAACATTTTCTGACGAGACTATAGGTAGGAGGAACTAATTTTCCTCAAAATTGACCCAAGAATTCAAGAAATGGGTAGATTCCAACTCTGGAGGCTGCATATGAAAGTGATGGAACTTAACTCAGATTAGGGAGTTTAGTTTCCTAAATCATTTGTCGAACTGACAGTGAAGCGGGTGTCGTCCGTGGCCTGCCCCCTCCTCCCCCATGCCACGGGGAGGGAGGAGCGGAGGAGAGTTTGAGCCATTGAAGTGACACGTGCCAAAGGATTCCACATTTGCCGCTAAAATCAGCTTGTACTGTGACCTTTAAAAAAACTGTGCTTACCTATCAGTGACTGATGAGAGTCTTTGTACCCCGCTGCCTAGTTGCTTCCTCATGCTTGAATGGTGTCTAAATTACTCATTCTATTTCTGCGTTATGATTAGCACCCGTTGTTGCTCTGGGTCCGAGCCATAAACTGAAGTGTTACTCTTAGTTTTTTTTTAATTTAGTTCATTTATTATGCACCCCATACCCATCTTGTGGGCGGTAGTGGAAAGGGTTACAGAGGCACATAATGGGCTCAGGGACTGAACCCCATAATTCATTTAGCTAAGCAAGTTACAATCTTGATGAGCTAGTTACAAAATTCAATACAAGTCGTCACATCAACAATGGGTTCGAGATCGACCTCAAGTACAGGTTCTAAATTAAGCAACTGACATATGTGGAGAGCTAGTGTCACAATTTATGTTTGTCCTGCACACCGCCCCCCATCCAGTGGGCAGCGGTGGATAGGTTACAATCACTTAGTTACTACCTACAGTTAGCAAACTGGGAATATTTGGCTAAAATTTCTGGTAGTAGATCATTTTGAATGAAATATTTACACATCGTTGGAACATTGGTTATAGAATTGTCTCTAAATTCACGTACCTTTCGCACTCCATCACATAGTGAAGGAGGGTGTGCGAATAATTTTGTTGACAGTTTACATTTGGTCAGGTCTACATCAGCAGATAATGAGAATTCCCAGAGATACTTGTAACCGAGTCTAAGCCGAGCAGTAGTAACATCTAGAAGTCTGCTGATTTTATTGGATGATCCATTGATGTGTGGCTCCTCTTGCATGATAGTATGATAATAGATGGAATTACTGGTGTCAATTTCACTTTGCCTCAGATCTACAAGATCTTGTTGAAGTTCTTTGTGTACTATTACTCCCAGATTGCTTATTGACAATCCAAGGTTACACTATCGGCTCCTTTAAAGGCAGATTCTTTGGCTAACTTATTAGCTCTATCATGCATTCGGAGGCCAACATGAGATGGATACCACATGAAATGGACTGTTACCATCCTTAATAATTTTGTTGTATTTGTGTCTAGCTTCGGACACGAGCATGTTACAGTTATGTTTTAAAGAGTTGAGAGCATTTAAGGATGATAAGGAGTCACTTACAATTAATGTATCAAGTTTGGAGACTTTTACACATTTCAGTGCAAGGAGCTACTCTGTGGTAAAGGCTGACTTCAATCACAACATGAAATGCCAAGACAAGTCATGTGACTGTAGCTATTACTACTCTGTCTGCTGGGGACATCCACAGTGACTATTTCCCCTTTGCAAAAATGCTGCAGACGAAAGCATGTCCACTTCAGCCACCTCCCAGCATGAAGTACAGTATGAACAGGTACCTCACCTCATTACATCCCAGTATGACAAGGACGCCAGCTCAGGTGATTAAACAATCAAGCAGTGGTTGTGTTGCCTACAAAAGCCGGAATACCTTATACAACGAGAAAAAGGCCATGAAAGTCAACAATGGCGTCAAGGTGACCACTGCCACCCCCCCTCCACAAAGGGTTGATCACGACCCCCCTCTACCACCCCCGGGGTAAATATACCAGGCTGGCATTTACACCTGAAGTTAGCAGTGACAGGAGGTACTCCTGGTTGAAACATGATCTCCCTCGTGCTGTTTGTTGACTCCATAGAACTTACACGCCCTAAACACGCCTCACCCTACATCTATGTAGCCAGGTCCCATGAAGACACCATCTCTGCCCTACTCCAAGATCAAGTGGGTGACATCACATTCAGTAACGCCGACTCTCCAGCGGGCTCCAGGAGATACAAAGAATACCTTGGCACTTTTTCCCCCCCCCATGACCTTGACATCTATGCGAAAGACTTATCAGGCGTATACAGTGTTAAGTAAGTAAGTCTGGGGGGGGGGAGGGGAGAAGCCACTAAACAAGCTTGTCATCTAGGAAAACGAGGCGCCATCCTGCTGAGCGCGTTCTGATAATTTTCGCCACCCCTCCCTTCTAGTCCGTTCAATTTCCTAGGCACCTACCCTATGAGCCAATCCCATAACACCCTGGGTGTCTTCGGCTGTCATACGTTTTTGATGCCAACACACTGGTCACAGCCAAGCATTGAATATCTCCAGTCACCTGTGCTTTCTGTGCAGACAATCATCCTAACTAAAGAATGCTCCAATAAAGTCCATGGTCTTGAGGCAGGAGACCACACCACAAGCACCGAGCACAAGTGCTCCAGGTGCTTACGGGAAGGTGTCACCGCCTGGCACAAGGACTGTTACAAGTGTGTGTGTGTGTGTGTGTGTGTGTGTGTGTGTGTGTGTGTGTGTGTGTGTAACCGTATAGCACAGTAGGGCAACCCACCACCACACAACCCTGTGATGGTGTCCAAACGAAGGAGATTCCAAACTTTTCATTCTGTGCAGCGAGTAAGTCATTTATGATTGGTAGTACGAGGTTTTTGCGCCAGAAACCAATCAAAACCTAAACCGAAACCTATGTTCCAGAAGGTTTCGATTGCTTGAAGAGCCGACTTTGAATCAGAATATTATTCGTCCTCCATTTTTGTAAATGCACTGGTAGCTAGTTGTACTGGCCACTAGTTCAGTACATTAAAAAACATTGGAAGATTATTATTTTGCGATTCAAAGATGACTCTTGAAGCGATCGAAAACTTCTGGAAGATCGACAGCAAGAACCTCGTACTACCAATTATAAATGACCTAATCGCTGCACAGAATAAAGGGTCCACAGAATGCAGTGCACAGAATCTCCTTTGTATGGATACCATCACACAAATATAACATCACGCTACAGATCATTCATTAGTCGCACATATCATTTACTAGACGCAAAACATTGACAGTGCGAGCATTTCAGGAATTTTCAGTGTGTAGTTCATGTTGTACCCGAGCCTTGGGAATGTCCCATCCATCCCCCCCCCCTCCCCCGAATATTTATTGTCTTAAAAACTAATTTCATAAGATACCTAGATACCATAAGCCTCCTCACCTGTAACGTTGACTCTCCCTTTCTTGGCCTGGTCCTCCAGCTGCTCCGGACGGGAGACTATATGGACCGTCCTGACGGGCCTGGAGGGTTGACTCAGCAACAGCTTCACCAGCAGAAAGGCCAGGCAGGCCAGGGTCACGTCCAGCCAGTTGGCGACCAGGAAAGGAGCCAAGTACTTCGTGGCCAGGCCCATCGTCTGGGGGCGGACCACCAGTCTAATACACTCAAGCATCTGACTTAACAAATCCAGATGTGGTAATATCACACAATTGAGGAAAGGAAGAACTACTGCTTGACCATCAGGGGGGGGTGAAACAAGGCAATTGGCACCAAGCAAGGGTAGTTTCACTGGACCAGACACACGCCCCACTACACCACACACACACACTTTCCCCTCCCTGTAATGACTGGTATATTAAGTAGCTTTTGTTATCAAGCTAAAGGTTTGTTAAAATACCAGTATTTTTTTGTTAAATTTTGTTTTATTATGCACCCCATATTTACGTGAGCAGTAGAGGAAAAAAATTAAGAGTGCACAAAAGGTCTGAGACTTCAGATTATTACAGTAACTATTGCATCTATCCTACACACCTTATGTCAGTCAAGAGGTGGTGCCATTTCAATAGCCAAGTATTTAGTTAATAATTATGCACTAATGGCAGGTCTTATGTAACGCTAATAAATGCTTGTTTGAACTATGTACATATTACAAGGTCATAGGAGAACTGATAGTCCCGTGTTCGTGCCCGCCGCCACCACCATCACTGGTCAACCTAACCACCTGGTAGTTGACACGGTAGACACTAACCAACAGATTATTTCGCGCCTCTGATCGCGCCTCTGATCACGCCTCTGATTTAAACAATATCTAAAGAATTCCTACTTCAAAAGGCTGCGTTGCTCTTTAGGGATCGGCGAGGCTTAATTAGTACTTCGTCGTAATTAACAACCAAACATAACTAACGCACATTTCCCACAAGAACAAACAAATTAAATGACAGAAGGACTATTGGTCCATACACGCAACAACCATTACTATCCACCAAGACTCACTCATACACATGTCTAATCTACGCTTGAAACGAAGTAGCAATCCCATAGTCACTGCACTTTAATTATACTAACACAATCTGGTGTCATTGTTACCAGGTAGACTATCAAGAAGCAATACTGAAGAGGGCAACAGACTCACGTCACAGCGGCAGAGCTAGATATGATAACCACACAAGTCTGATTACAGTTCCAAACTGTTCCTGAAATCCTGACAAGAAGACGGGAAAGATCTGCATAAATGAAGTGGATGTGATTCGACTAGCAGCTATGCCAGATACCGCCATAAACGCCATCTATTGACTGACAGAGTAATCTTTACTTATCAGAGTAATCAGTCAGAGTAATCAAACCTAAACCATACTTGAAATTAGATCGCATCGTTGTTGGCTTACTGCTTGACTGCTCTGAGGAGTGTTTGCTGGGACGGGAGTGGCGGACTTGACCGTAAGTTGGACTTGCTTATTCATCACAGCACCTGGACATATACACACTGAAAAGGCGGACCCGGGTTCTCTGCGTATATACATAGATAGTTTACTTAAGTTCTGGACTATGTTCAGGGCTAAAGTATACTTGCTGATTGGTCAGTAAATTAGTATCATTGCCTTAATAACCCTCTTGCAGTTGGTAGGCCTTAAGTCCAACACCAATCCAAAAACTGATCACAGTGACTACACAAAACAGATTTTGCCATTAAACTTTCTTAAAAACGAGTAGTTACACCATCAGCACTTCGCGTGGTGTGGCGCGACTCTGTGTCACCGTCACACGCGGGAATCATGTAGAGGTTGTCGAAGGTTCTTGTTACTTAAGAAAGAATAATGATGTTATCTTGAGGTTATCTTGAGATGATTTCGGGGCTTTAGTGTCTCCACCCCCAGGAAGCAGCCCGTGACAGCTGACTAACACCCAGGTACCTATTTTACTGCTAGGTAACAGCGGCATAGGGTGAAAGAAACTCTGCCCATTGTTTCTCGCCGGCGCCCGGGATCGATCCCGGAACCACAGGATCATAAATCCAGTGTGCTGTCCGCTCGGCCGACCGGCTCCAATAGATGCGAATACATGTGCCGATAGATGCGAATAGATGTGCCGATAGATGCGAATAGATGTGCCGATAGATGCGAATAGTGTGTGCAAGTGAGGTGTTTACGACTCCTTGTTAAACATGGATGTTTTTAATTGTCATGTCAGATTCATTATTTTTAAGTAATTATAAGACAAATAAACAATTGCATATTATGACCGCTTGTGAGGGACGGTGTAAGTGAGGAACTTTGAAATAGGTTCAAGTTAGCAATAGATGTGATTAGGAAAAAGAAAGAGGGTTTCTATGATATTTGGAGTTCTGCCGAAATTGTGTGTTGTGTTGAGTTGTTGTCTGGGGCAATTGGGATAAATTGCTGACTTGTAAGACTTTGTTGTAGTTGTGAAATAGAATTCCTCACGAACTGGGCCTCGTTCACTGGCCAGAACTCTAGGTAGTTGTTGTTTTAGACTCAGCTATAAGTTCCAAGCAGCACGGGCTGTGGTGAACCCGCCGTACACACCTGGCACAGGAGATGTGCGAACGCTAGGTTAGCGAGGGACCGGGTACACTTCTCTAGGGGAGAGGTCACGACCTCTCCGTAGGGTGCAGTCGCACCTCCACAGATCTCCAGTATCAGCTAATGATACTGGTAATGGCTCCAAAGGGCCACCACTTACGGGCTATTCATACCTGTGCCACCTTTTGGGTGTCTTCATCTTCATCATCACCTCTCTAGGGATGGGGTGCCCACCTTACCACACTCATGTAAGCTGTTAGATTCAAGAGGCGCGCGCGCATGAACCATAAGAAGACAGCCCAGGACATTACGGGGACGAGACACAGAAATGGAAAGAAAAGCAGCGAGGGAAATGTAAATAAAATTGGCTCAAAATATAATGGGTGGACACAGGCGTCAACATCACACCATTAAATGTGTACTACACAAACAACACGAGTGTTAGAAGCAAACTACACGATTTAAGTGCTCGTGTGAGCACAGAAACAATATATATTATTACACTCACCGAAACATGGATGATTGTAGTAAACAGGAACTGTTGGCTGAATACCAAATTTGGGGATTCAAATTGTATCATATAGATATGCAGATTAGACGAGGACGGAGGATAGCAATATATGTCAGAGAAAATTTGTGTGTAGTGTCAAATAGAGAATCAAAACTGAGCCACACAGAAATTGTTTGGATAGAACGAAACGAAAATAATGATTGCCTGATAATTGGAGATATATATGGACCACCAAACCTTGATAGAATGGAGAAAGGACATGTATGGGCAAAAATACCTATAACAACGAGTTGTGATAATGTTTGTATAACGCGCGAGTTAAATTTGGGTAGAATAAACTGCATTACTAAAATAGACAATGCAGAGGCAGGAGAATTTGTATAAATGGTGGACGACTGCATTCTTAAATAATATATTGTGGAACCAACACGAAAACCAATATATTTATTTATTTAGATACAAGCAGGGACATTGAGTTGAGAAAGTGCATACATTGAGGTTTGAGTGTAACAATCTTGCAAAGCCACTAACACGCATTACACTTCGGGCAGTATATTAGACTTGACTTTAGCCGGCAGAGAAATAGGGAGCGTGTTAGGGGAGAGTGATCATAAGGAAATTTGACTTAACTTTGAATGGGAACTTTGTGAGAGAGAAAACTCTGCAAGCATAACAGATTTCCGAAGAGGAAATTATACAGTACTGAGAAGTTAACTCAGTTTCTTGATGAACTTTTTATTATTATTATTATTATTATTATTATTATTATTATTTTCTACCACGGACGTGGCCACACATTTACAATGCTAACCAGCATATATACAATTTCTTCTGTCCTCCATGGACAGGGTAAAAGATCTAGTAAACATAATTCAGTGATTTATTGAACAACCACAGAAGGTGATTGTAGTGCTTTTAAAATGTTATTTCTTGATGAACTGCCCGTCCACAGGGCCAATTGGAGTTGGCCAACAAGACAAACCCAAGTCCTGCACCAAAGGACTTATGAATGTGCCAGGTTGCATGTGCACTCTGGAGATTCCACGCTGGCGACTTTACGACGCCCGCCCCCTCCACACTGCCCCCCTTAAGACAGACAGGAAATTCCATAGGCACTGGTTTGGTTTGGTTAGGTTAGGTTAGGTTAGGTGTTTAGGTTCAGTTGGTATTTATTTGCATTTGTAGTATGTGGGTGAAACATTTACAGCGTTGTGGTTCGAACAAAATTCATCATTGAAGCACCTGTTGGGCCTTCAGGCATCCATTTTGTACTCGCGTGACACATGCCAGTTTTGAATGGTACGCTATACCTATAAGATCCCTGAGGCACGTTGCGCACCACCCATTGAGCGCCTACAGGCGCGTTGCGCAGTGCAGTGATTTATGAAAACAGTGAGAGTAAATTTGAATGATATAAATATAAACTATTATAAATACGTGTGAAAAGAATATGATGTAAGTTTCAAAGCTTCTAAGGCAGTCACATAAAGGATTTACTGTGGTGAATAACTGTACTGGAAGAGATCGAAATCCTCCTTGTAGACTCTGCCCAAGCCTTGAATCTGTTCCTGTGTGAGATTCCTCATGTAGGACTCTAGAAGATCAGCGGTGTCAGAGGACTCGAACTGTGGAAAGTGGAGCTCTTTGGGGGCGCCTATCCTCCGCAGGATCTCTTCAGAATCCTCCACCAGCGTCTCATACTTGGCAATGAAGTTGTATCGGATGGCGCAAGGATGACACAGCCTGGTGTAGGTGGCCCAGTGTTCGTCCTCCTTGTGACCGCCGTCAACGACGTAGGAGACGAACTCTGGCCACTGTATGTCCCCGTGCGTGGCTTGGGGCCGCTGTCTTTGGACATGGCTCAGAACCTTCCGCTGGAACTTTGTGTCTAGGGTCGTGGCGACCTTGTCCCTGAAGGCAGACAGGAGCCGCTCGTACGGGTGTCGCACCACCAGGAACTTCGAATACACCTCCAGCTTCCGTTTTAACAATGATAACTGCAATGTACAAAATTAGCAACTTTAGGGTCCAGAAATATCTATTTTAGTTAATATCAGAATTATAAATATTTAAAGCAACAATGTGTTTTTGAGTGAAGGGTTGACCAACTCTGTAACTATCTCATCAGTGCTGTAACTTGCTGAACTAAACATACATTGATGTTCTGTTCCTGAACCCATTATGTGTCTGTGACCTTCTCCACTACCACCCACAGGATGTGTGTGGGGTCCACTACCACTAACAGGATGGGTATGGGTTTCCACTACCGCTCATAGGATGGCTATAGTTTCCGTTTGCCACTTACATGATAAGTATGGGCTTCCACTATCACAACAGGATTGGTATAAGGGTCCTCTACCACTCACAGGATGGGATAGGCGTCCTCAACCACTCGAGGGATGGGTATGGGATCCATCATCACTCACAGGATTGGTATAAGCTGGGTCTTTTAGCACTCACAGGAAGGGTATGAAGTTCATAATAAATGAACTAAACTGGAACAGATAATGGGACAAATATAAATAATGTTTTTTTTCGAACCCCTCCATTGGTGGAGGCTGCCTGCGGCTGCCTGAGTAACTGCGTGTGTTTGAGTGAGGGGGTGAACGCTCTCAACAGTGGCTGTGCGTGTCAGTTCATCTACTTGCCTAGTAGAGTTTTCAGGACCGAATCTCAGCTCCTGGGTTCAGTATTTCCAACTGTCGGTCATCAAATATTCAATGACTCCTAACCTCCCCCCTCCGAAGCCTTGTGGCTTGTCATGGCTGCATCAAAACTATAGAGGGAGCTTCTGCTATTTCCTGGCTATTCAACTTCTGTAATGTCCTTATACTGAAGACTATGCTTCCTCGCATGCCTGTGGGTCACCCCAGTGACCAGCATTCCTCTCCCTACACTACTGCTTGATCTAATCATCCTGTCTCGGTCTTTCTCGTCGATGTCTTTCAATATTTTACGTGTCTGGATCATGTCCCCCTACATTTCTCCTTTCATCCAGTGTATTTAAGTGTTGTTTTCTTAGTTACTCTTAGAGGGTGGGTGTGTGTGTGTGGACAGACCTTGCGGGGCTCCTCCGAGACGTCCTTCTCGACGAAGACGTGGATGTCAGGTGTGGTGTTGTCCTTCCGGGCGAAGGTACTGTACCGTCCTGTCAGCTTCAGCCACACCAATTTCCAGTTGGTACACGCCACCTGTCGACACCAGCTGTGGTCAGCTCCACCACCAGTCACAACACCAGCTGTGGTCAGCCACACCACCAGTCACTACACCAGCTGTGGTCAGCCACACTACCAGTCACTACACCAGCTGTGGTCAGCCACACCACCTGTCACAACACCAGCTGTGGTCAGCCACACTACCAGTCACAACACCAGCTGTGGTCAGCCACACTACCAGTCACTACACCAGCTGTGGTCAGCCACACCACCAGTCACAACACCAGCTGTGGTCAGCCACACTACCAGTCGCAACACCAGCTGTGGTCAGCCACACTACCAGTCACTACACCAGCTGTGGTCAGCCACACTACCAGCCACTACACCAGCTGTGGTCAGCCACACCACCAGTCACAACACCAGCTGTGGTCAGCCACACTACCAGTCACAACACCAGCTGTGGTCAGCCACACCACCAGTCACTACACCAGCTGTGGTCAGCCACACTACCAGTCACTACACCAGCTGTGGTCAGCCACACCACCTGTCACAACACCAGCTGTGGTCAGCCACACTACCAGTCACAACACCAGCTGTGGTCAGCCACACTACCAGTCACTACACCAGCTGTGGTCAGCCACACCACCAGTCACAACACCAGCTGTGGTCAGCCACACTACCAGTCACAACACCAGCTGTGGTCAGCCACACTACCAGTCACTACACCAGCTGTGGTCAGCCACACTACCAGCCACTACACCAGCTGTGGTCAGCCACACCACCAGTCACAACACCAGCTGTGGTCAGCCACACTACCAGTCACTACACCAGCTGTGGTCAGCCACACTACCAGCCACTACACCAGCTGTGGTCAGCCACACCACCAGTCACTACACCAGCTGTGGTCAGCCACACTACCAGCCACTACACCAGCTGTGGTCAGCCACACTACCAGCCACTACACCAGCTGTGGTCAGCTTCAGTGCCAACACTTATGTAAATCTCAAACAACACAAATCCAATATTCAGTTACTGAGAACCGGACCACCAGTTCTCTCCGGCTCAGTACTTGTAGTAACACTTGTGTTTGTCTCACGACAACACTACCACCTTATACACCAGGGGGGCATCCTTACCCCTTAGGGTGGGGACGGTCATGGAAACAAAATATTGGGAGGTACGTGACTGTCTCTGAACAATTTTAATACAAAGTTGTTGTTAGATTAGACTTAACGCTCACTCTAACTGTTCCTCTATTCCGTGTTTTGATAACACAAAAGCAACAGGAAAAATTTATTGATATGATTAAATCGTTATGACATCCTTTCTCTGTTGGGTTGCCAGCTGTCCACATATGAAGTAAACCAAGCTATTGACATTCTTTGACGGTCTCTGACACCTGCCAGGACTGGTGGTGGTGGGGGTGGTGGGGGGGGGAGTGGTTGACAGTCTGGTGGAGGGGGTGTGGGTGGGGACATGTTGCGTAATCTAATGGATGTCTGTAATCGTAAAAAGCTTAAGATCACCTGCCACATATGATCTGTTATTAAGATCACCTGCTATAGATTATCTGTCATCAAGTGCTTGAATTTATAATATAGATAATGCGAGCGGTGCCCGGGGAGGTGGCTCACAGACCAGGGGCCAGATTCACGAAGCAGTTACGCAAGCACTTACGAACCTGTACATCTCTTCTCAATATTTTGCGGCTTTGTTTACAACTATTAAACAGTTAATGAGCTCTGAAGCACCAGGAGGCTGTTTATAACAATAACAACAGTTGAATGGGAAGTTTCCATGCTTGTAAACTGTTTAATCAATGTAACCAAAGCCGTCAAAGATTGAGGAAAGATGTACACGTTCGTAAGTGTTTGCGTAAGTGCTGTCGTGAATCTGGCCCCTGGCGTCAGTCTCCCTGGCCAGGAGGACGGGACAGGTGAAACTCTGTCACCTTAACCTCAGTGTATAAGAGACGGGGAAATGAGGGAAATCTACAGCGCCGCTCCTGTGCCGGGTAAGTCCACTACGGGCTCACCATAGCCCGTGCTACTTGGAACTTGTTCCGAGCTATCTATAACAACAAGGGAAACCCATAGCCCGTGCTATATGGACATTTCGTTCTGAGTAGCTATATCTAAATCACCAACAGCATGGGAGGGAACCTTCAAGTTGCAGCGCCGCTCCTGTACCAGGTAAGTCCACTAAGGTCCACTCACCATAGCCGGTGCTACTTGGAACTTTTTGTTCCCAGGAGGAGTTTACCACCTGCTTTGGGCTGCATTATTAAGCAACCCGACTCTACAGAGAGGCCCTTTCCGACCGCCCCATCTATGCCCTCGCGGGCGCCGCCACAAGCTACACAGTGAAACCTCATGGCGACGGGAATAAACAGAGGTATACACATGTCCTCGGCATACATAGAGTTGACTTTAGTCCTAGATTTAGTTCAATTCCCCATTGATAAAGAGCGAACTGTCAAAGTTACAGTTCGCCAAGGAGCTGGGATACGAGGACAAGGAGATGGTATATGTGGACAAGGAGCTGGAATATATCTTGAGGTTATCTTGAGATGATTTCGGGGCTTTTTAGTGTCCCCGCGGCCCGGTCCTCGACCAGGCCTCCACCCCCAGGAAGCAGCCCGTGACAGCTGACTAACTCCCAGGTACCTATTTACTGCTAGGTAACAGGGGCATTCAGGGTGAAAGAAACTTTGCCCATTTGTTTCTGCCTCGTGCGGGAATCGAACCCGCGCCACAGAATTACGAGTCCTGCGCGTTATCCACCAGGCTACGAGGCCCCACTATATGGACAAGGACGTGGGATATATGGACAAGTAGCTGGGACATGTGGACAAGGAGCTGGGATATGAGGACAAGGAGCTGGGATATGAGAACAAGGAGCTGGGATATGAGAACAAGGAGCTGGAATATGAGAACAAGGAGCTGGGATATGAGAACAAGGAGCTGGGATATGAGAACAAGGAGCTGGGATATGAGAACAAGGAGCTGGGATATGAGGACAAGGAGCTGGGATATGAGAACAAGGAGCTGGGATATGAGAACAAGGAGCTGGGACATGTGGACAAGGAGCTGGGATATGAGAACAAGGAGCTGGGATATGAGAACAAGGAGCTGGGATATGAGAACAAGGAGCTGGGATATGAGAACAAGGAGCTGGGATATGAGAACAAGGAGCTGGGATATGAGAACAAGGAGCTGGGATATGAGAACAAGGAGCTGGGATATGAGAACAAGGAGCTGGGATATGAGAACAAGGAGCTGGGATATGAGAACAAGGAGCTGGGATATGAGAACAAGGAGCTGGGATATGAGAACAAGGAGCTGGGATATGAGAACAAGGAGCTGGGATATGAGAACAAGGAGCTGGGATATGAGAACAAGGAGCTGGGATATGAGAACAAGGAGCTGGGATATGAGAACAAGGAGCTGGGATATGAGAACAAGGAGCTGGGATATGAGAACAAGGAGCTGGGATATGAGAACAAGGAGCTGGGATATGAGGACAAGGAGCTGGGATATGAGAACAAGGAGCTGGGATATGAGAACAAGGAGCTGGGATATGAGGACAAGGAGCTGGGATATGAGAACAAGGAGCTGGGATATGAGAACAAGGAGCTGGGATATGAGGACAAGGAGCTGGGATATGAGGACAAGGAGATGGGATATGAGAACAAGGAGCTGGGATATGAGAACAAGGAGCTGGGATATGAGAACAAGGAGCTGGGATATGAGAACAAGGAGCTGGGATATGAGGACAAGGAGCTGGGATATGAGGACAAGGAGCTGGGATATGAGAACAAGGAGCTGGGATATGAGAACAAGGAGCTGGAATATGAGAACAAGGAGCTGGGATATGAGAACAAGGAGCTGGGATATGAGAACAAGGAGCTGGGATATGAGAACAAGGAGCTGGGATATGAGAACAAGGAGCTGGGATATGAGAACAAGGAGCTGGGATATGAGAACAAGGAGCTGGGATATGAGAACAAGGAGCTGGGATATGAGAACAAGGAGCTGGGATATGAGAACAAGGAGCTGGAATATGAGAACAAGGAGCTGGAATATGAGAACAAGGAGCTGGGATATGAGAACAAGGAGCTGGGATATGAGAACAAGGAGCTGGGATATGAGAACAAGGAGCTGGGATATGAGAACAAGGAGCTGGGATATGAGAACAAGGAGCTGGGATATGAGAACAAGGAGCTGGGAATATAAGAACAAGGAGCTGGAATATGAGAACAAGGAGCTGGGATATGAGGACAAGGAGCTGGGATATAAGAACAAGGAGCTGGAATATGAGAATAAGGAGCTGGGATATGAGAACAAGGAGCTGGGATATGAGAACAAGGAGCTGGAATATGAGAACAAGGAGCTGGGATATGAGAACAAGGAGCTGGGATATGAGAACAAGGAGCTGGAACATGAGAACAAGGAGCTGGGATATGAGAACAAGGAGCTGGAATATGAGAACAAGGAGCTGGAATATGAGAACAAGGAGCTGGAATATGAGAACAAGGAGCTGGAATATGAGAACAAGGAGCTGGAATATGAGAACAAGGAGCTGGAATATGAGAACAAGGAGCTGGAATATGAGAACAAGGAGCTGGAATATGAGAACAAGGAGCTGGAATATGAGAACAAGGAGCTGGAATATGAGAACAAGGAGCTGGGATATGAGAACAAGGAGCTGGAATATGAGAACAAGGAGCTGGGATATGAGAACAAGGAGCTGGAATATGAGAACAAGGAGCTGGAATATGAGAACAAGGAGCTGGGATATAGCAGCATCATTACAGGTTCAGAGACCAGCAGTTATATCTCATGAACATGGTAATAATAGTTCTGTGACAAGGTGACATTAACTAGACACTTGTGGCTGCTTATTATACAGTACTGTATCATTATACAATATTATACAGTATCTCCGCCATTTCCTGCAAGCCTGCAATTGTCCACTATGTCTTTGTGGCTCAATCGTGTTCGTTGTTTCTAGTGTTTTCTTGTTTGTGAACCACC